GGAAGAGCCTGAAAGACCCTCGGAGAAGACTTCCCTCGAGAGGAGACTCCCCCGAAGCCAAGGAACAGGCCGAGACCACACGGATGCAAATAGCAAGAGGTTTATTGGGTAAACACAGGTACCTGCGGGCAACAAAGTCTTTGGAGGACTTGCACGCCTGCAGACTGGGGGAAGGTCTTTATATAGGAAAGAAGGCGGCCAAAAAATTACAGAAGCAGATGCATGGTTATTGGTCTGATTAGAATGGGGCAGGGGGCATAAATGGTATGGTGACAGACATCCTGTCATAAATATCCTGCTTTGCAGCCAGAGGCCCTGACCTCACTCTGCACTTACATTTGTTTGTCAAGAGCCTTGTAAAATGATGTTACAGCAGTTAAGCTGGGGTCCTATATAGGGGGAATTGTTTCTTTTGTAAACTGCTGATATTTTAGGTTTGGCACATGTATCCTGTTTCCCTAGGCAAACACGGGATGTTCTCATGAGAGTGGCTAGCTGCAGGTCCTGAGAGGGTCCTGAGGGTCTCAAGCAAACAGGATGTTCTCATGAGAGCCAGCTAGCTGCAGGTTTTGGGGGGGCGGTCTGTAGGGTCTTTCAAGCCTTCCTATATCAATCAAAAATCAACACAATCTCTCTCAGACACCTTAATCAGACATTCTGATCTAGGCACACTCTCAATTGGTATTGTCTCAGATCACTCTAAGCTATGCCATGCTGAGAGCTGAGGCTAATTAGAAGAAAGAGACAATAATATACAAGAAGGTTTTAAAGACCCAAAGGCAATGTACTAATCATATCAATCACTTAAGCAGCAAAAACACAAACATGAAGATAGATATGCCAGGAAATGGAAAGAGGCAAACATCTAAGATAAACAAGAGAAAACTAAAATCGTCTCTCCACAGAATCTTCCCAAACCAACAAAAACTCAAGGAACTCATAACATGAGAAATCTGAATACAAAATTGGTGAGACCATTATTTTCCAGAAAATAAACAATATACTTAGATAACAATGAATAAAATCAACAACATAGGTGGTGGGTAGCACTGAAAACAAAGACACAAAGATATATTATGCTCCTTTAAATAAAAAAACTACAAGATTCTAACCAAAATCAAACTCTAAGAAATCACTGACCAGCACTGATTTCAGTTCTTTCTCCTTTACCAATAACAGAAAATGGCTTGGGTAAGGAGGGCTGTTCCACCAAAATTGGAGAGATTCACTTAAAACCTTCTCATGCCTTAACTTCATAGAAAATAGTTTTGAATACTAAAAAAAAAAAAAAAAATCTCATTATCTTATAGTAAAGAAAAGGACGTCTGTTAGGATCACTTAGACACCATTTTGCTCTGCCTGATTGATGATTGCCTGTAAGTCTGCAATCAGAGTGAGGAAATAAAAACATTATAAAACAAAATGCAAGATAACAGATTTTTAAAGAATCAGTGGACACCTAAAGCAACTTGTTTTACTCTAATTGCTTTATAAGTCAAAGCACTTTTGTTTTTGTTTTTTTTTAAATATTTATTTATACAGTATTCTTCCTGTGGGCCTCATTACAGATGGTTGTGAGCCACCATGTGGTTGCTGGGAATTGAACTCAGGACCTTTGGAAGAGCAGGCAATGCTCTTAACCGCGAGCCATCTCTCCAGCCCCTCACAAGCACTTTTGAAAACAAATTTGTTGCTATTTTTTGGCATATGTTGGTGCATGAGTGAGAATGTCTTCCATATGTATACAAGTAACTCGCTAGAATCGCTGTTCGGGGTGCTCTACCTTTTTGGAGACTAGAGATACCTGGTGGCGCTATCATTAATAAAGCCTATTGCTTCTTGCATCTGCTGGACTGGTTAATTGAGTCATGGGGCTTCTCCCTCTTGGGCCTGCACCCAAATGGGTGAGGGTCTTTCACTCACATCATTTTTCTCGGAGTATACATCTTAAACCTGGAAAATACAGTCATGATAGGCAAGGCCACACCATTTTATCCAGCTCCACTTTACTCGAATTACTGTAACTACAGTAATTAGGTTTAATGATAAGTTCAATTCTTTATATAGATTCTTGTATGCATGGTCTGCGGGTCCACGAAATGGCCAGTCAGCACATTTGTGGAACATCTAAAGTTGATTGCCTCACTACTCATTGCTAATGTCAACTACCGTCACAACAGGAAAGCTTCTACCCTCCTTCTTGCCCATCCTTTTTCTGTTGTGAATACACTGGCTTTACAGTTGGTCAACGAACTCAATTCTTACACAGGTTCCAGTTCACTTGTAAATTCACAATAAAGTCTACAGAAGCTGGAGAATACTCATTCACTGTTCTCTTTCTCTTTCACACAGGCCAGTCGAGGTCCAGCTTGGAAGGAGTTGCTGGACTGTCTTTCCAGCACTGGGTAGCAGAGGCAGGATTAGGTGTTCAAAGCAATTCTCAGTTACATAGTATGACGCAAGCCTGAGCTATAGGAGACATTAATATAAACCAATTGTTCTCAATCTTCCTAATGCTGTGGCCCTGATGTGGGAGTGTCATATATCAATCTGTTGATTTCATTGGTTAATTAAATAAAGAAACTGCTTGCCCTGATAGGTTAAAACATAGGTGGGAGGAGTAAACAGGAGGAAGATGGGAGGAGTAAACAGAATGGAATGCGGGAGGAAGAGGAAGTGAGCTCAGACCTGACAGTTCTGCTCTCTGGAGCAGAGATGCCATGCTCAGCTCTCCCGGATAGACTTGACAGCTCTGCTCTCTGGAGCAGAGACGCCAGGCTCTGCTCTCCCATGCAGCTCTGACCCAGGATGGACGTAGGCTAGAATCTTCCCGGTAAGTGCACCTTGGGGTACTTACACACATTATTAGAAATGGGCTAGTCCAGGTGCGAGAGTTAGCCGAGAAGAGGCTAGATATAATGGGCAAGCAGTGTTTAAAATACAGTTTGTGTGTTGTTATTTCGGGGCATAAGCTAGCAGGCGGCCGGGGTGCTGGGGACACAGCCCCGCCGCTCCTTATTTCAACATGGCCCTTTAATATAGTTCCTCATGATGTGGTGACCCCCCCACCTATAAAATTATGTTCACTGCTACTTCATAACTATATTTTTGCTACTGTTATGAATTATAATATAAATATCTGTAATTTCTGATGGGCTTAGACCAGTCCTGTGATAGGGTCATTTGATCCCCCAAAGGGAGCTGTGAGCCTCTAAACTGATATAAATATATAAATAAATAAACAGCACTTAAGAAAAAATAGAATGAAATTATTTAACTTGGAAACATTGAATAAATAAAGCAGCAATGCATTTAAATAAAATGAATGTTAAAAATAATACCAATAATTGATGTCTTAAAATGATAAAAAATAGTAGGAAGAACCCTTATCTAGAGTGACTATGATATAGAGTAGGCCCTTCCCTGATAGAGAGAATGCCATTAATAAGAGACTATATTGGCAGACTAGGTGTAGTATGCCCACAGGAGGTCAGCTGTGAAAGAGTGGGCACAGACCGACAATGGAAGAGATTGCTCAGCTTCCACGTAAAAGGGTAGCCACTGAGTGCTGTAATCTAACACAGGGAGTCACATTCAACTGTTTCTCAAACATCTCAGCTGACTTAACCGTGTCAACCAGGAGTGTACATATCTGCACAGCTTTGCTAACTGTAGTTCAAGCGACCCTCCCTAAATTGTACACCCACCAATTCTGTCTGTCTTCATTCACATGGAAGGAATTAATACCTGCAGCGAAATTACAGAGAAAGTCACTCACCATGCCCCCTCAGTCCTTTGTAATGGAGAGCCCTGCAGTTCACTGCCTTCAGCTCCAGTCTGCGACCTAGCTATTATCTAATCTGTTTTCTCCCGGCAGTGCTCCTCCTCTTCTGGTCTGAATGGAGGAGCCAGTACTCCACACGCAAATCCTTTCCCTGTTCTGCAATGGACAGTCCACTATGTGGCTCAAACTGGGAATTTTAGAAAGCTGTGGTGCTGCAGACATGCAATCCAAGGTTTAGTGTTTAGTCAAGAGGACAACAAGGGCAATGCCTTGTGGGGCTACAGACAGGGTTCAAATACACTTCAATAGCGTCGGAGACTTTGACTCCAAATCACTTTTCAAAAAGACTAGAAATGCCAATGTTCTAGAATTAATATACTTTTATGGCACAACAGGACTTAATGGGGTTGTGACCCTGGAATGGTCGCTTGAGCAGCATTAAAAGGATGGTTTTTTTTAATGGAGGGATGGGTACTTCTGCTGGTTGTAAAACAGGGCTGTCTCCGTGGTTTTGGGAATGTAGCTGGTTGATCCTGGGGAACATTTACATCTTATTCTAATCTCTAACACGTGCGGTTAGCATACCACGCTGCTTTGGAATATTTGGGATGCAGCTCACCCTTACCTGCTTTCTACTTTGTGACTTAGTGTTTCCTAAGAACTGGTAAGTCCTTATACCGTCAATTCTACTCTTCTACACCACAGTAGCAGCGGAGTGCGACTCTATACAGGAGATACTATTTACAAGCTCCACAGAATTAACTCCAGATGGATCCTAAAGCTAAATGTTAAATGTTAAAAGTGCAGAACTTCTGAAAGACAATAGAGGGACCACGGCTCTCCAACCTTGGCAAATCTGTGTTACAGAGAGCCAATACAAGCACTAAGGGCGCCGGCATTTCATGGTGATATCAACAAGGATATTTCAAAGCACAGTCCCGCTCCCAATGCTCTGCACAGACGCAGTCAGGAGAGTGAAGTTGCCCAGAGACTGCCAGTCGGCCCAGGAAATACAAAGAACATGCAGGACCACTCAGACCACGCCGGAGTATTAAGGACCAACAGAAGCACGCTGGATGATGCAGACCCAGGCAGGAATATACTGAACTCTGCATCCGATCACTGGCTACCACACAGCCAGAGGAAGATGAACCACACGGGCTCCCGTGACTCAACTAGCCGCTCCTCCCTGTCTGGGGATAGCCCCCAAGCTCACCATGTCCTGGCTTTCCAGCTTTCCCATGCCGTCTGCTCAGCTGCCAGCAGCAACACTTAGCACAGCACACAAAACCACCGGCGCCAGCTTCTATTCAAAGCTTGAAATTGGGGCCGGAAGGACCCGGCACAATTTCTGACTGACAGGTCAACTAGAGAATCTGATTGGCTAGTGAGGCCTGAGTGACAAGAGCACCTCCCATAGGTTTATACTGTGCTTAAAGACACAGTACAATGTTTCCAGGCCCTGCCTTTCATCTGAAAACCCTTTTCAGAATCAGCAGAGATGCGTTTCCATAGCACTTGTCCCTGCCTCCAATAGTAGACCCTGCTATCTTCCTGCTCTCCAGAGGCACTTCCCCTTCTCCTTGACACAAGGTGACTCACTAGTTTGCCACTTGTAGCCGGTTTGACTTCCAAGATTAGCTATCACAACAGTCAATACAGAAGAGAGGAGAAACATCCTTAGCTGCAGGAAACAGGAAAAGCATGGGAGTTACTTCCAAAACAAAGCTTTTCCTGAACAAAGGAAGCGTGTGGATTTTACTTAGGGAGTCTGTACACATTCAAGTAGATTTCAGCCTATCCCTAAGCAGACTCGGCTAACAAACCCATTTCTGAACATAATCACAACGTAAAAGCGAAGACATTTCGGGGCATTCGTGCTTCAAAGTCATGCAGAAACATATAAATTATAAAAACGATGGAAAGAAACGCCTCTGGCGTGTTCATCTTGTACCACAAGTGTTAGTATTGAGGCATCTGTGCTGGCCTGCCCTTGGGTTCCTGACAGATGTGTCCTCAGCTGCAGCCACTGGGAGCACCTCCTGCACACTTCCCATACTTTCCCTTTTAAAAGGTGAGCCTTGCCCACCTCCCACTCCCTCTCTCTCCCTTTCCATCTGAAAGACCCTAGAATTTCTAAGGCCACGAGGGAAGTCCCTAGACTCAATAATCCAGTCCAGCAGATGCAAGAGCAAGAGGTTTTATTTCGATAGCGCCATCAGGTGTCTTAAGACTGGGGGGGCGGGGGGGGGGGACACGACTGAGCACACCAAGCAAAATTCCAGCAAGCTTATATAGGCAAAGTTAATTACGTACTCTGCCGTTTTTAGAGCATAAATATCACAGGTTATTTGAAACAGATCAGGTAGTGACAATGGACAAAGTTGTTTGTTCATTCCATTTCCCAGATTCTGGCCCTGCCCTTCCCCATCTGGTCTTTTGTTAGATTACTCAAGGGGACAGACTATTCCTTTTGTGAACTGCTGTCATTCTAAGTGAAAGACCCTACAGACCCCCCCCCCAAAACCTGCAGCTAGCCAGCTCTCATGAGAACATCCCGTTTGCTTGAGACCCTCAGGACCCTCTCAGGACCTGCAGCTGGCCACTCTCATGAGAACATCCTGTTTGCTTAGGAAAACAGGATACCTGTGATTGGCCAAACTTAGTGAAAGACCCTCGGAGAGGACTTCCCTCGAGAGGAGACTCCCCCGAAGCCAAGGAACAGACCGAGACCACATGCAAATAGCAAGAGGTTTATTGGGTAAACACAGGTACCTGTGGATGACAAAGTCTTTCGGAGGACTTGCGCGCCTGCAGACTGGGGAAAGGTCTTTTTATAGGAAAGAGGGCGGCCAAAAAGCAAATTACAGATGGGGCAGAGGGCATAAATGGTATGGGGAGGGGGTCTTGTAGGTCTTTCAAGCAAACAGGATGTTCTCACAGGAGTAGCAAGCTGCAGGTCCTGAGGGTCTCTCAAACAGGATGTTCTCACGGGAGCAGGCCAGCTGCGGGTTCTGAGGGGGGGTCCTTAAGGGTCTCTCACATCCATCCCTCTCTCTCTCTCTCTCTCTCTCTCTCTCTCTCTCTCTCTCTCTCTCTCTCTCTCTGCCTGCCTCTGCCTCCCACCCCCACCCCACCTCTCTCTTTTGTCTCCAGAGGCTGGTTTCCCCATCCCCCCTTTTGTCCACATTCCTTTTCCCCTAATAAAAGCCCCTCCACGTGAGCTCTTCTTTTGAGCCACTTGTTAAAATTACAACAACAAGTTCTTAGCTGAAAATCAGGAAATGACACAGTGAAAGTAGATTTCTCAGGAGCCTGTGTGACCTGTCAATCTTGATGTTTGATCTAAAAGATAACTGTACTGATGCCCCAGTTCTCACCGATACAAAAGATAGAGAACATAAATACAGAAAACTTCAAGGAAAGGGCACTTAATAGCCCTGTGTACTCTGCTCTTAGATGAATGGTTATGATGAGCTCTGTTAACCTCAGAACAAAGCTTCTTTTACTTCTGAACTGGCTGGCTCAGCAGAAGACCACAGATGCTTCCATGCAAGATCAGAAGGAGTTCATTTTAACTGCCCCTGGCTTCTGTCTGTCTCGGGGTTGTGACATCACTGTAGAGAATTCCATCCTTTCCTTTTTTAAACTTTTTTCTTTAAATGTAGTTATATGGGTGTTTTGCTTGTATGTGCCTGTGAACAGTACTTACAGAGGCCAGGAGATGGAAGGAGATGCCTAAGACTGGAGTTACAGCAAATAGTTAGTTATCATGTAGGTTCTGGGAATTAAACCCGGGGCTCTGTAACAACACCCAGTGCTCTTAATTGCTGAGCCATCTCTCTACTCCCTCTTCTTATTTAACATTTAATGTCATAAATTGATCACATGATATTACATCACTTTCTGTTTGGGTAGAAAGTTCTCATCTCAAGCCCACTCTCCTGGGAGTTACTTCAGTACAGCCTCAACTGTTGAAATAGGAGCGGCAGCGCTGCGTCCCTGGCACCCAGCCGCCCGCATGGCTAGCTTATGCCCCGAAATAATTACACGGAAACTGTATTCTTTCAAACACTGCCTGGCCCGGCTAGTTCCAGCCTCTTATTGGCTAGCTCTTACATATTGTTCTAACCCATTTCTAATATTCTGTGTAGCCCACGAGCTGGCTTACCAGGGAGGATCTTAACCTACGTCTGTCTGGAGTGGGAGAATCATGGCGACTCTTACTCAGCTTCTTTTTCCCAGAATTCTCTTCTGTCTACTCCGCCTACCTAATTTTCTGTCCTATGAGGGCCGAGGCAGTTTCTTTATTAATAAGAAATCACTCCCACATCACTCAACCCCCAAGAAAGCCTACCAAATGATGACCCCTCCTCAGAGATGCCCAAGACCACTCCCACGGGGTATATAAACAGCAACCCAGAGAACAAACATATGGTTTTTTGGTCTCCCTTCCCATTTTCACCTGAGAGCACCACTTTCATTAAACCTGGGCTTTTTCTAATTTGGTTTGATTTGGATTATTGTGTCAGTACAGAGGTTTGTTGGGGCACAAAAACATCTCATCTGGAGCTTCCATCAAGGGGGCTGTTTTTCCCACTGGCCCAGAGCCATGTGTTGGAAAACACCTTTCTCCCCTGCACCTGCTCTCTACCAGGCTAAGATCAGCTTCGTCTGGGTAAGTTCTGAGTTTCAAGTCATTGCCTTAGAGGCCCAGAGCCTCACACAGTTTGGGCCATTCTGTTGAAGCTACAGCCATGCCAAGTGCCTAGCCTGACTTGACAAGGACCTGCCTTATTCTGGAGGACAAAGGCCTGCCTTGTCTCTGTGGGGTTCCTTAATAAAGACATATCCTTTCAAGGAATTTCTCACACCTCTCTTTTTTTGACCCAAAGTCTATCACAGTGAATGCAGTACACTAGGTTTTGAGTCCCGAGTTCTGGCATAGACCTAAAAGCAATAAATGCTTACAGTTCAGAGACTGATCTCCAAAATCCTTGGGCTGCCTTTTACAAAATCTTTTTTAAATTGGGGCTATCTGACACCTTAGGATCCTTAATGCCTAAAAGTTTTTGCCAGCATGAAAGAAACAAGGCCCCCATGTGCCATGGTTTCTGGATGCTGTGCTCCCGGAACTCCCCTTCTCTGCTCCCCCTCCCTGCTTCTCTAGCTGTTTGCATCATGCTGGGATTCTCCACAATGGATCCATTCCCCTGGTCCTTCCACACTAAAACTGCATAGGTTTTCCATCTTTATGGTTTTGCTCTCCCTTACAGCATCTGTTAATCTGGTCTTTAATGGGACCACCTGTGTGCTTGCCTGGCTTCTGCAGCCTACACCAGGATTTGAAGTTGGTCAGCTGACTACGGTTTCCAAAAAAAAAAAAAAAACTTTTGTCTGTCTGACGTATGTGTAGATAATGTGACCACAGTATGCTTGTTTTATGTCTGTGTGTGTATGTGTGATTGTTTTAAAATCTGTAAAAAACTTGTAACTCCAGATTACAACAGCTCTGGAAAAAATGCAAACATGTGACTAACAACCATTTTGGTTAAGGCAAAATCCTCCACGCCATCTTTGGTAAGAGTATGCATGTGTGCTGGCCCTACCAAGGAGACATTCTGATTCTCATATACTTTGACTTACTAAAATATTCCTTCTAATCTTCTTTCCTCTACTAGCACCAGTAAACTTAACTAACTGGGTAAACTATATGTCTAAATTGAACTTAAGACTAATTTGGATATACCAACCAGGTAATGGTACCCTGATTCTCAAGTGCCTTTACAAATCTCAGAGTATGGATTTTAACAAAAGAACGTCTTATGACAGAGACGTGCCAGCTCCTGCAGCATCCTCCAGCTCCTCCAAGAAGATACACGGTTACAGAAGACCTTTCACCCGGAAGCTTGCCTTTGGATGTGGCAAAGCCACCCACACAGCAAAAAGCCCCTTCCACCTCATCAATTTCCTGGACACCACAATGGGGTATCTATTATCTTATCTTGCCAAGACAGGTCGACTAAACCCTACCCCCACAGGAAAAACTTTGGGCCTCCTGGACTCAGGAGCTGAAGGCAAGCACTGCTTCTAAGACTGGTATTCGCCAGAGATTATGGAGAGACTCGGGATTGCCTGCATAACTAAAAAGAAAGCTGTCTCATTTCTGCTTACTTCTCCCTCTCAGATCTGTCTGATGGCATTTGAGGACTTAAGGTACTGGGAGTTCATTACTTCATTTGTTAAGTTTCCTGTTAAAAATACAGACAGGTGTGCCCACAGACAGGTGTGCCTCTTTCACGGGCTTCATAGCCCAG